TCTCAAGAATGGCTTAAGATATTAACTGGAGACTTGTTAGAGATGATAGAACATGATTTCTAGATTGGAGAGGGAACCTTTTCGTTCGTCGTCGGCACTTCCGGTCGCTTACGGAAGTGATCAAAGAAATCGTTAAATTTCAACTTTCCTTTTTTAAATAAATTCTTACATCACATTATTGCATCTCTTTTGTAGTTCTGAAATATGTTGGTCCCACAGGAAATAGAAACGTCAACTTCCGGTTATAAGAGAAAAACTACATAATTTGAGTAGTTTTCTTTCCCATTAATATCTTTTGTAGATAAAGTATTTGGAATGATTTTAAAATATGTTATACAGACAGCAAATGTCCAGAGTGACCTCAAATATCTTTCAAAAATTCACTTCCGGTCGCGTGTTTTTCTGTCCTCAAAATGAGAAGTTGTCTGAGCAAGATCTCTGAAACGGTAAGAGATTAAGACACCAGACTTATATGAGCAACAGACCTTAAGATGTAGCCAAAACCACTTGGGTTCAGAGCGTCAGCCGTCACTTCCGGTCGTCACAGAAAGTGACCAAAGAAATCGAAAATTTCAACTTTTCTTTTTTCATTTAAAAATTGCATCACTTTATTGCATCGTTTTCGCAGATTCGAAAGATGTTGGTCCCACCGGAAAGAAAAACGACAACTTCCGGTTATAAGAGAAAAACTACAAAATTTGAGTATTTTACTTTCCTATAAATATTCTTTATAGATAACGTATTTGAAATGAATTTGAAATATGTTATTCAGACTGCAAAGGTCTAAAGTAACCTCAAATTTCTTTCAAAAATTCACTTCCGGTCGCGTGTTTTTCTGTCCTCAAAATGAGAAGTTGTCTGAGCAAGATCTCGGAAACGGTAAGAGATTAAGACACCAGACTTATATGAGCAACAGACCTTAAGATGTAGCCTAAACGACTTGGATTCAGAGCATCAGCCGTCACTTCCGGTCGTCACAGGAAGTGATCAAAGAAATCGAAAATTTTAACTTTTCTTTTTTTATTTAAAAAAATTGCATCACTTTATTGCATCGTTTTCGCAGATTCGAAAGATGTTGATCCCACCGGAAAGAAAAACGACAACTTCCGATTATAAGAGAAAAACTACAAAATTTGAGTACTTTACTTTCCTATAAATATTTTTTTATAGATAACGTATTTGGAATGAATTTGAAATATGTTATTCAGACTGCAAAGGTCTAAAGTAACCTCAAATATCTTTCAAAAATTCACTTCCGGTCGCGTGTTTTTCTGTCCTCAAAATGAAAAATTGTCTGAGCGAGATCTCAAAAACAGGTAAAAGATTAAATCACCAAATTTTTATAAGTAGCAGACCTTGAGGAGTAGGCAAAACCATTTTGGTTAAACGCGTTCGTCGTAACTTCCGGTCGTCACAGGAAGTGATCAAAGAAATCAAAAATTTTAACTTTTCTTTTTTAAATTAAAGTTTGCATCACTTAATTGCATCTCTTTCACTGTTTTGAAATATGTTAGATTCCACCGGAAACAAAAACGTCAACTTCCGGTTTTAGCTGATAAACTACGTTATGTCGATATTTAACTTTCTCATAAATATTGCTTATCGATAAAGTACTTGAAATGTTTTTATGCATTTTGTAGATTCTGCAAATGTATAGAGAAACGTCAGAGATTTTTTTTTTTTTTTTTTTTTTTATAAAATTCACTTCCGGTCGCGTGTTTACCTGTCCTCAGAATTATAATTTGTTCTCACAATATTGTTCGGCAACAGTAAACGACTGAAGTCTAAAACTTTCAGAAATGATAGTCAGTCATCAGTTTATTTGAATCGCGAGGAAATCTTATATCGCCGTTACTTCCGGTCGTGACAGGAAGTGATGCAAAAAAGTTAATGGTTAGCACGTTGGATTTTCACGCTGACAACCAGGGTTAAATCTCCAGAGTGTCTGAATTTCTTTTATCACCTTTTCAGCTTGAATTTACTATTTTATTTTCAAAATCGGACGGAAGACCTCTCATTGCTCGCAATGAGTTTCTAGTTATTATTATTATTCTTTTTTCTTCTTATTTCTTCTCCGGTACTTTTTTGTCCGCGAGTGTTCTCGGAAACTGCTCATCCAATTGAGTTAAAACCTTTTTAGGGTTAATAGGCATGTTATGTAGATTTGCGGAACAAAGGTCATTTTGCGCGCACGTGCATGCACGTGCGTGCGGGTGCAATGGGTAAAATAACCAATATACTTGATATAGCTGTAACTTTTATATTTTTTGATGAAATGCTTTGATACTCAGAATATAAGGATATATTAAAAGTGTGAACAAGATGACATGGTCAACATGCACATGCATGCGCGTGCGCGCACGCGCAAAGCGTAAAATGACCAATTTACTTGATAATATCGTATCTTTTATACTTTTTGATGAAATGCATTGATACTCGAAATATTTATATATATAGAAAGAGTAGACAAGATGACATGGTCATCATGCACATGCATGCATATGCATGCACGTGCGCGCGCATGCAATGTGTTAAATGACTAATATAATTAATATAGCCGTAATTTATATATTTTTTTATGAAAAGCTTTGATATTAAGAATATATAGATATATTAAAAGTGTAGACAAGATGATTTGGCCATCATGCACATGCGCGCGTGCAATGTGTTAAATGACCAATATACTTAATATAGCCGTAACTTTTATATTTTTTGATGAAAAGATTTGATACTATGAATTAACAGACATATTATAAGTGTACGCAAAATGGCATGGTCATTATGAACATGCATGCATGTACGCGTGCGCGCAATGCTAAGATGACCAATATGCTTGATTTAGCCGAACTTATATATTTTTTGATGAACTGTTTTGATACTGAGAATATAAAGATGCATATATAGTATAGACGGGATGACATGGTCATCCTGCACATGCATGCACGTGCGCGCGCGTGAAATGCAAAAAATGACCAATATACTTCATTGCCTTATTTAATGAAGCTTACAGGAAAAAAGTCACCAAAAGGGAGTTGGGGAGCGTTTGGGGAACATCTGTAACGGTTCCCGTTACAATTATAACTAGTTTAGTTTATGAGGTGCATTTTACACAACTCCTCCAGAACTGATCACTCCCTTGTTTGGCATTGTAGCCAGGTTGATTTATATCCCTTCCTTGTTAAAGCTATTGTTTACATTAGTTACCACACAGCTGTGCCTTCTTGCACATGTACCATATACACCTTCCCTTACTCCAGTGAATACAAGGTGCATATACAAATTTTATTATTGTCTAGATCCATTAAGAGTCTTTTCATTTTTGTATTACATAGTGTTCTAGATAAATACATGTATATTTTGTTCCTTTGATCTGCCATACATGCCACTGACCAGGAAGTCCTGTTTGTGATGCCCCGCCATGAATATGGCCGGGGCATATAGTGTTTGTCATGTCCGTCTTCGTCCCTCCGTCCTTCTGTCCTTCCGTCACACTTTGCGTTTAGCTCTGTTCAAAGCTCAGTTTCAAAGAAACTATCCAAGATATTTTTATCAAACTTCATATGCTGATAGTTATTGATGAGAGCTATGCAACTGCATCAACTTTTTTTGACCTTGACCTTTCTTTTGACCTTGACCTCACTTTTCTTAAATTAGTGTTTAGCTCAGTTTTAAAGATACCATTCAAGATAGTGTTATCAAACTTCAAATGCTGATACATACTGATAAGAACTATTCAACTGCATCAACATGTTTTGACCTTGACCTTTCCTTTGACCTTGACCTCACTTTTCTTAAATTACTGTTTAGCTCAGTTTTAAAGATACCATTCAGGATAGTGTAATCAAACTTCATATGTTGATACATACTGATGTAAGCTATTCAACTGCATCAACATTTCTTGACCTTGACCTTTCATTTGACCTTGATCTCACTTTTCTTAAATTAGTGTTTAGCTCAGTTTTAAAGATACCATTCAGGATAGTGTTATCAAACATCAAATGCTGATACATAAGGATGAGAACTATTCAACTGCATCAATATGTTTTGACCTTGACCTTTCTTTTGACCTTGACCTCACTTTTCTTAAATTAGTGTTTAGCTCAGTTTTAAAGATACCATTCAAGATAGTGTTATCAAACTTCAAATGCTGATACATACTGATAAGAACTATTCAACTGCATCAACATGTTTTGACCTTGACCTTTCCTTTGACCTTGACCTCACTTTTCTTAAATTACTGTTTAGCTCAGTTTTAAAGATACCATTCAGGATAGTGTAATCAAACTTCATATGTTGATACATACTGATGTAAGCTATTCAACTGCATCAACATTTCTTGACCTTGACCTTTCATTTGACCTTGATCTCACTTTTCTTAAATTAGTGTTTAGCTCAGTTTTAAAGATACCATTCAGGATAGTGTTATCAAACATCAAATGCTGATACATACGGATGAGAACTATTCAACTGCATCAATATGTTTTGACCTTGACCTTTCCTTTGACCTTGACCTCACTTTTCTTAAATTAGTGTCAAACTTCATATGCTGATACATACTGATGTAAGCTATTCAACTGCATCAATATTTTTTCACCTTGACCTTTCCTTTGACCTTGACCTCACTTTTCTCAATTTGTGTTAAAATATTGCATTACTAATATACCCTCGGCGGGGCATTCATGTCCTATGGACATATTTCTAGTTTTAAATACATAGTCAAATTACTACATTAAGTTTGTGTGTTTCCGTTATATAGTTACTTATTACTACATTAAGTTTGTGTGTTTCTGTTATATAGGACTTTCATTGTTGTATTATCAACTGATAAGAGGTATAGAGCTCATATAACTATAACAAAATTACTGTAGAGTAAAGGAAAAGTTATTTATACCAGGTTATTTACAAATACAATGTATTCAATCTTTACATTATTGATTACAATATAGAAATTATTAATTGTTTGGTCCTTATTGTTATTTTATGTACTGCTGTATTTGTAGGGCATTCACATGTACCATGCCATCTACAGTAGATGTGAAAGCCAGAATTGGTGACCTTGAAGCATTCAAGGAGAAAGTAAAGGTCAAGAGCCAATCCGAGGGTGAAATCTTAGTTCAGGAGGATATTTTCTTCAATGTTCCTCAGGGAAGGTTAAAGTTAAGAAATACAGAGAACAAGGTATTGTTCAATAATTGTACACTTCAAGGTGACATAAATTTCAATTCTGTTTTCATCTTAATGAATCGAACCTTGTATAGCTGGTGGTACTCTTCTCAGCAATACAAGTATAGATGTTTGTCAGCTGCTAGTACTTGATTCAAGAAAACTTTTTATGATAATTATGCAACTAATACAAAATCTTTCAATGCTTGCCAATAATTTGCAGGCATTTATACTCCCGTAACTTTTTTGGATTATACTTGGAAATTACATCTTGAAAATGAATGCAATGCTGTTGTCTTTCAAAAGAGAAGCAGCAAAATATACTGGTTAGTGATTAACATCTGCGCTTATTCATGTAAATTTTGCAGAGATCAGAGTTGTGTTTTTATGAGCGCCCTGATCAGAAAGAGGGGAAGCTGAGTGACTTTGCCACCTCCTTTATAAGTGATCCAGAGGGTCTAAAGGTATTGAACCCCTCAACATTCCTTTTTAAAAATTTTGAGCAGTATTTGATAATCTCCAAGCCTAAAAGCATAAGATGGTCTATACATTAATATGTATAGATTTTCAAATGATTCAGTGATTTTTACAAGATTCATTTCTTTTCATGAGGCAGTATATGATTTGATTTTAGGAAACTTTGAAAAGAGCTCTTGGGATCAAAGGAATATTGAAAAAAGTGCGAAACTACCATCAGGTTGGCCAGACCAGAATTCATGTGGACCATGTAGAAGGTGTGGGGAACTTTATGGAATTAGAGGTATGTCATGTTCTAAATTTTGAATTTTGAATTTACCAGTTGGGAGTAAATACAAAATTTAGAACATGACCACTTCTAAATTTTATATTTACTCCCACCCTGTAAATTCAAACTTGTGCATGTATATATATAGAAATGAGTACATGTATGTAGCTAATTGTTTAGATCAATTTGCTCTATTTAAGGTCAAGGTCATTATTTTGTTATGCCCCCTTCAAAGAAGGGAGGGCATATTGCTTTGCTGCTGTCTGTCTGTTGGTGGGTCGGTCTGTCAGTCTGTCCACCAACAGTTTCCGTTCATTTTCTTCGCAGAGGTTGCACATCCTGAAATGAAATTTGGTATACAGATTTATCATAAAAATATCTAGGTCAAGTTTTGTTTTGGGTACGATTGAGCAATTTTTGACAGAGTTATGCCCCTTGGACTTAGAAAATTCCAATTATTTGCTGTTTCCGTTCATTTTCTTTGCAGAGGTTGCACATACTGAAATGAAATTTGGTACACAGATTTATCATAAAAATATCTAGGTCAACTTCTGTTTTGGATATGATCAAGCAATTTTTGACAGAGTTATGTCCCTTGGACTTACAAAAATCCCAATTATTTGCAGTTTCCGTTCATTTTCACCTTGGAGGTTACACATACTGAAATGAAATTTGGTATACAGATTTATCATAAGAATATCTAGGTCAAGTTTTGTTTTGGGTACAATCGAGCATTTTTTGACAGAGTTATGCCTTTTTGACTTAGAAAAATTCCAATTATTGGGGAGGGGGGGGCATAAGTGTTTCACAAAAATCTCTTGTTCAAGGGGTGTTGAAGCCTGTTATAATGGAAATATTAAGAAAGTTAACTCTGAACTCATATTTGTTAACTTGTCAACAAGATTTTATCAAAAAATCTTTGAAGTTGATTTCAGTAACATTTAAACACCCTTTGAACAGGAGGAATTGAGTAAACTGTGAGGAGAACCCTCCAACTACCAGGGAGTTGCATCCTGCTGACTTACATAGTGTACATTCTACCAAATACTCCCCTCCCCATGTAAACTACATGTGCTCATAGCATTTAGTAAAAGTTAAGTCTCTTTCTTGAAATATTATAGGTGGAACTTAGACAGGGACAGTCCATAGAAGAGGGGCAGGCAGTTGCCATGAAAATGATGGAGGAATTGGGAGTGCCCACTGATGATCTCATTTCTGTGGCCTATATTGACCTTCTACTCCAAAAACAGACTTGCTAATCTTTCTTTATTTTAAGTTTGCTGTAGCACCCCACAGAAATTTATACTTTATTGCTGTGCATAGTTTCAAGTCCAAGTGCTACTTTTCCTTTCTTGTATACCAAAACTTCTAAACTTCAAATCTTCTACTGTTGTCTGCGGAATAGAATGTACCCTTTGTAGGCTTATTTATGTTGGTGAAACTAATGGTTCACTTATAAAAAAATATCAGGGCATAGATTTCAAATTAACAACGAGGGCCGGCAGCTTCTATACAAGCACTTTCATTTTCCTATTATTATATTTTATCAATGAAAGTAAGATTTACCATCATTCTAATAGCCCATCATTGAATACACCTTTCCATAGACAACAAGTGAATACTGGACTAGAAAACCAGGCATGGCTGGAATATGGCTGCAATGACAATGTTGATAATGTTGGGAATCTTTCAAATCCACAGCAATTTGAATCTGAGGGGACTTTTTAACAATACATGCAGAGACATATGCATAGTCATAGACATTGCTCTGACAATAAACCTTTTATACACGATGTCTCCTTTGATTCACTAAGTACCTTATAGATCTTCAGTACATTTGCACCAAACTTTAATTACTCTGTCCCTTTGAACGTTTTAAATAGTCTATTTGAAAAAGTCAAGGAAAGTCCATATTTGGATTTGTCAACACCAGAAGAATACAGGTTCAGACCTGAGATTATGGATACTGCAAATTATAGGCTTTCTAAACCACCACGTTTTTCGTAAAAAAAAAATGCTTCTCAAACAACCCATTCGTTTCCTCAATACTTCAATATACAAACGAAGGAATTGTCACAGTTAATATTCTTAATTACAAAAGGGTCCAGTCTCGTATTCCTATATATTTCAAATTGAAGTCCACATCTTGTATTTCTTAAAAATATACATCGACAGCTTTTAAACTTTTTAATTACAAAAAAAAACAATTCCTAGATATTAGACATTTGAAACATAATCCTCCAACGTGTTCATGTTCTTCACCACCCTACAACTATAGTCTTGATGGACACGCCATTACTGGTGACGTAAATATAGTTAATAAATTGATGACCTTATTAAATCACTTATTTTAAAAGGACCAAAATTTAGGGAACCCCAGTAATGACGTGTCCAGCAAGACTATAGTTGTAGGGTGAAGAAGAACAATTTCTAAAACGAGGCAAGCTATTGACAAGATATTGGGGATGCTTACTCCTCCATGGCACTGATCCCACCTCTTGCTCTGCTCCTGATTTGTAGTGTTTGAATGGACTTTTGAGCTCGTTGTCTAAATATTTCATTTTGAAACAAGATGCTTAAGATGATGAAAACGGCACCGATAAATTGGATGGCAATAGACACTGTCGAACTGTAATCAAACTCAACTGGGGCAATTTATACATCTAGATTTTGAACCAATTATTTGCAATATGAAAAAGTAAAGTATATTTCAACACTTGTAGTTAACTTTAAGCGTTTTAATGACGCTATTTTGACGTTACAAAATCCGCCCGAATTCTGTGCGCGACGTCATAACTAAATTCAATTCTTTATTGAGACTAAAGATCAAAATGATACAAAATTGACTAAATAAACAGTATATGGCTAGATATATATTACAAAAAGAATCATTGTCGCTAAACAAAGCTCTCTGTGTGTAGTAAAATACTTATTTACTTGCATCACTAAATCTGCTTACCTGGGCGAGGAAAAAATATATAGTATTAATAAAAAATCAGATAATTGATAAATATGATAAGGAAAACAAAGAAAACCAAAAATTCAAAACTAAAATTGATATCTAAAAAAAAATGTTTTCTATACGAAACTTGCAGGCACGTAGTGAGGGGGCGCTGAGTTTGGACAATTTTCTTTTTTTGGCTTGTCAAAGTTTTTTTCAAGTTAGTTGTCATTTTTTTCTCTCGCTCCCATCCTCTTTCAAAAACAATACTACTTGCCTGACTTGAATACTATTCAATCAAATCGATATACTAGTATACATGTATTGGATTTAATCCGGTGATTTTGCGGTCTTGGTAATGTTCTCATTTTTCTTCAGTTCTTATTACTGAACCATAGATTGGAGATGATAAACTTCCCACAAAATTTTGGCGGCTGTTTCGCCTGTAAAAAGACAAAATATATTGGTGTATTTACGTTTTCTTACTTCTTTATTATATATAAAAAAGTTAGATTTTCAAGTCGTGCTTAAAAGAAATAGGCATTGAATTTGGGTCAATGAATTTAAAACGTATCGTCGCCCGTGTGGAGCAGCTAGTGGTTAGAGCGTTTGCTCTAGAGGAAGGAGTTGAACCTTACGTCGCAAGTTCGAATCCCACTGCGGGCCTTCGGATGAGACCGTATAAACCGAGGTCCCGCGTCGCATTAGCTGGAAAGAAAAAAGAACCCTCGATCGCTGCTCAATGGTCGAGTGCAGGTAAAAAATTTCAGCCCTCCAATGTGTGAGTGAAAAATTCGCGAAAGGAACGTTAAACAAACGAAACAAAGTCAAACATGTATCTGTCGTAAAGCATACATTGCATTACGAGTAAATAACTTACATTTAATTTGCTTGAAGTCTATAGCCTGAATTTTGGCCTGCAGATTTTTTAAGTCTCCACTGTTTAGTGCTAAAAAGAAGAACATAATTATATGCTCTTACTTAATTAGGTTTAATAACTGTTCTTAAAAGTATGTGAATTCGAGAAAGAATTATATCAACTAATAAACTTATAACCACACCAAGTTCTTGCTGGAGACTCCCTTGTCTTACAGGTAAACCTATGGAAATCAATATATATATGAGATTTTAATTTTTTTTTAAATTAAAAAAAAACCGTACGACAAGTGAAAAAGTAACTAAACATACCAAAGCGTTTAATAAAACGTGATTAGGTTGTATTGATTTCTGCCAAACAGAACTTCATATATATATATATATATATATATATATATATATATATATATATATATATATATGTGTGTGTGTGTGTGTGTGTGTTAGGGATGGCAATTTGTAACTGGTTATTCTGTCGGAACGATGGTAATTCGTTAATAAAAATCTGTAATCGGTTAGACGAAAAAAATAAAATATATGACATATAATGTAAATTTGAAAGCAATATTCTAAAAAGTCTATTGTAAAAAAGAAACCTCTGCGGGTATGTGGATAACTTAGCGTTTTCACATATGTATTTCAGCTGATTTCCCTTACTTCACATTTATAGCAACGTACTAATTTTTGTTCTTTATCATTCACGCATGCTATTGCTATGTATTAAATCACCATATGTTCTTGTAATCTCTATATACTATTGTAAAATGGTGAAGAGATTCAAATAAATTATCGATTGATTGATTGATTTGGAGGTGATTATGGTTTGCCGGATTTAGATCGCGTTGTAAATTGGTCAGCTTGTGAAGTGCTAAGTACTGTTTAAACACAAAGTGACTGTCGTCCTGTAATTATTTAATGATATTAATTAAAACACTTTAAAGTTATATTTTTTTAACAAGCATTGTAAACAAGCATTCTGAGAGTATTGCATTAGCAATACTAGTCCCCTACCGGCAAGTGTAATCTGGTTCCCGTTAAGAATTGAAAATGCCATAATTCCGTCAAAAATTAATGAAGCGGACGAAATGCGAACTTTATATATAAATATTTACATTTCCAAACATTTTTACTTAGTATTCTTTGCAAATTAGAAGACTGTTCATTTTCTCATGAACTACCATGAATGAGCATGAATATAACTAATCAAGGTAAAGCCACATACCAAAAATCAGCTCAATATCTACAAACGTTTAGAAGAAAATTGCGGAAAACCCGTAAAAATTGAAAAGGCCGTAATTCCGTCAAAAATTAATGAAGCGGAACGAAATGCAAACTTGATCTGTAACTCATCGAGATACACTCACATACCAAAAATCAGCTCAACATCTGCAAGCGTTTAGGAAAAAAGTGCTGAAAACCAAGTGGGACAGAGGGACAGACAGACAGACGGACGGACAGACTCAGAGGAAACCTATAGTCCCCCCCGGTTTCACCGGTAGGGGACTAATAAGTGATAGTTCAGCCTTAGTTTTGATTACGGCGACAGTGCAGAATGAACAAGTGTGACTGGTCCTGAAAATCAACAGCGTTTGATTTCTAAGACACACTTCATAGCTTTCCTATATTTTTTTTCTTATGTATTTATACACAATATATACGTAAGTATAGTTTTCTGATCAGGATAAACAGAATGTTTTTATCTTCTAACGGTTTTTTTTAGTCTTCTTGTTTAAATAGTCAAGAAATTTGATACGATTAACCGGTTAATCGGTCGGAACGTCTTGCGGTTAACTGATTAGCAATTTTGAATTCGATTGCCATCCCTAATATCTATCTATCTATCTATCTATCTATCTATCTGGCTTATATGTAAGGTAACATGTTCTCTTCCATGTACTTGATCCCCCAATTACCAAACTGAGATTGAACTCCAAAATGACAGTTTCTCGAGATTAAAAAATCTCCTACCAAATATACAAATACGGCGAAAGGAGTTAATCACGTTTGAAATAAAATGATAACCCTTATTTTCTTAACTAACTTATCACATGCAAAATCACTATCAAATTCAACTAATAAATATAAACTTTATACAAAATTAAATAACTTAAAATATTACTCAACTGATGAGTAATACCTCCCGCCTTTTGAGATTTAAAGAAATGAGTGCTCAACAAATGAGTCCTCAGCTACCCAGCACTCTTATTTTTATTCACTAATAGACTTAATATATTTATTATGCCAACTAATGGCGCCAAATTCAATAACACTACCATTACACAAGTTAAAAGAAGGACTAAAGAAAATACTTCCTCTTAATTCCCTTCTCGATACATTTAAGCCGTAAGTTTAAGCAAAATTCTGTGTATTGTGAGAGCGGGTTAAACGGATTCGTCGTTTCTTATTTCTCCTGACTCTCATGTAATGGAAGTAAAACACTTTTTATTGGGATATTTTATCTGTCTTGTGTTCTTTTAAAATTATTATATAGATGGCGTTATTTGATGAATGCATAACGTAGTATTCAATATAGCACATACCCTTCAGGCATCCCGGAAGCATGTTCTGCAGCTGTCCACAAGCTTGATCTATCTTTTTGAGAAGAATGACAAAATTGTCTTAATTCTTAAAATAATTATGAATGGTTGTTTATCAATCAATGTTATAAGGTTGTCGATTGACATTTGCAATGAACTAAAGACCTTTTTATTATATTAACTACAATTCTATTTTCCCCTCAATATTAATTTTTTTTTTTTTTCAAATCTGCAGGAATGATGACTTTTTAAAGATTACTTTGGAGAGAAGTGCCCTGTCTTGAGACATTCTTGTTAAAGTTCCTGTAGCCTGTCCCAATGATCTCAAACTTGTCACAACTTTTCTGATCCCTACAGGGTCGACTTTGAATAAAAAAAGTTAGAAATTAGTTTTTGACATGAACTTAGATATTTAATTGCAACTTT